TCATATCTATGTTGATTCAACGCCTTCCGTATTGCGTAATTTATTATTCTTGACATTGAAGTATTGAATATAAAGTGTGTAAAAACGTATAATTACTCTTATATATTTAATTTATAGACGTTTCGAAGGCTTTACAGAGTCCTTAATGATCACATTTTTATCGAGAAATTAATAAAGTTTATTGAGGATTTTTTGGATTTCATTGGATTTTTCTGTGTGAGAACTTCTTCGTATGGTGAAGGAAAACACCGTAAGGAAACTAGTAGAACAAAAACTTTATATAAAAAACATACTTCAAGTCAGACACCGGCTCATCACTTGTCTTAATTTTTAAAAATGTTTTTCGATTATTCTCTATAAAATCCTCAGAGAGAATAAAAAAAAGGGTGCGTGTACTTATGTACGCGCGTAAGAAGTTATACTTCTTATTCATTTATTAAGTAATATTAATAACAATTATTATTATTATTTATTATTTTATTATATTATTCATTCAATTTAATAACTTAGTATGTTTCATAACCTTTTAACTAAGTAACAATAGGTCTTTGTGAAAAAGCATTGCTAAATTTCTTTGAAAAAGTAATTAAAACTCCTTTATTTGTTTAACAGGTAAATTACATTATGGTTATTCAAAATTCTTGGCATAGCTGCTAACTTCACGCATATTCTATTTCTTTTTACTCGTAGATTGTCTTATTCCCATCTCGCTCGCGCACGCTATAATCACACTGACAACTTTGTGTCTCAGGTGCGCGCGCATCGTAAAATTTCACTCTCATCAATTTTTCATAACGCGCCTAAAGAAGTATAACTTCAAAAACAAACAAAAAAACTTTTTCGTAGCGCTGAGCAACAATTTGCGATTCATTGGATAGTTATTTAAACATTTACTAATAAACAACTCTCAGTGCGAACAATTAGATATTTGAACAATCTAAGTCGTGCAGTGCCGTTATGTAAAAAGTGTGAATTGCACAATTGCTCGATGCGATGGCGAAACTTGGCCGCCTACAAATGCCAGTGAAAGTCACCAAGTGACTTTGACACGCTGGCGTCATTCTATAATCTATGGCACTTGACACTTGACCAAATTAACGGATGTTTCATGCAACTATAGACGCTATCTTGTGAACTGTAAAGGATTTCGTTTGTTGCTTTAAATATTAAATTAATTCAACAGAAGTATTTTATTAAATTTATTGTTTTTGATATCTTTGCAATTGTTGAAATTATACAATTCGTATGTGAGGTTCATGGCCAATCGTTGTGATTGTTGCAAAACTGGTTTTTTGTTTATATATTTTTAATATACGTAAACACAACAAGGAATACTGAATTTCAATTAAAGACTTGTAAACTTTAACAAATTGAAACTATTGTATATACCAGTGATTCCCGACCTTTTTTGTGCCACGCCCCACCCAGGTCTTTCTAAAATTCTTATGCCCCCCGAATCTAACATAATTTTTAATATTAAACAATTGAATTGTTCACTTAAGAACCTAATAGGTTTTAGGGAGAAATAACTAGGAAATTGTTAACGAAACACAATAAGTAAATTGAAAAGCCCCCCATAACAATCTAATTGCCCCCCTGTGGGGCGTGGGCCCCAGGTTGGGAAACACTCGTCTATACTATAGTCTCTATAGTATTAAGTAAAACATTAAAGAATCATATGTATTAATATATCGTCAACATATAACACTTGTTAGTAATTAATATTGAGCGAAAGTTATTAACAAGTGGCATTGACGCCGCATCGTGTCATTGGCTGGGTGCGTGTGACGTGCGTGGCTTGCGCGCGCGCTGGTGTACGTAGCTCTACGTACACACTACGTTTCGCGATAAATTTTTATGTTCTTGTTATAAATATTTGATGAATTTGTACACGGAGATAAGGTAAATGTCTCTATCTATCTCTAGATATCTAATGTCTATGCCCTAGTCCTAAATTGATAGAACGCATTAGCTAATGACGTTAAAGATAACAGTTTTGTGATTATATTTTATATGACAATTAGATATTAATTACAATAAATTATAAACAAGACAAGACATTCTGTGAGAATATTTTGTCCCGTTCATTTGTCAGTAGTATGAAAAGGACAGTCACTGGGTAGAAAAATAAAACAACGTAAAATACAGATAAAAATTGTTATTTATTATTAAGCACACTACCTACCACAAGTAACGAAACTAAAATGTTTTTGATATTGGAATTTTAATTTGTTCTACTGTTTGTGTAATCATTGTCTTTGGTTTATCGAGTATGACACACTCGTTAGCGATGTGACAGTAGTCAGCGATACAGACCATATCTCGAACAAGCAAAATTGAGTAGCTTGTAATAGATTAGCACAAAATTAGCGTTTTCGAGGAGGATAACTTATGCCGTGGCAAACGGAATTTACGCGCGAATTTCGAATTTCGTGTTTGAATTCGTTCTGCTGTTTGTGTAATCATTGTCTTTGGGTTATCGCGTGAAACATTGGTTAGCGATGTGATAGTAGTCGCACAGACTACATCTCGATAAAGAAAAACTAGTAACTCTATCTACTCCTATGTGACGCGCCAATTTTGAATTTGGAGTATTAATTGAGGGAAATTTCTAAGGCGAACACAAAGCATTCGTTCGCGCAAGTTAAGCACATACGTTACCCAATTAGAAAGTTATAAAAATAATCAATGTACCACGGTCTAATTTTATTTGTTCACCGTTTTTATCGCGTCTTTCCCATGTAAAAAAAAGTGAAAGTATATCCGGCCTGCTCTAGACTAAGATAAGTAAACGTTTTTACAATTACAATTTAGGGCTAATGATACACAAATTGAGGTTAACCATGTCAGTTAGGCGTAATTACATAATCGGAAATATAAATCGTAAAATTCAAAATGTAAAAATTCAAAATCATTTATTACCACAATGTACACTTATGAACGTCAATAAATAAATACATATTAAATGCTTCTAATTTTACATTTACTGCCAGTTCTCAAGGGTGTAGAACAGACGAGATGAACTGGCAATAAACTCTCCGCCACTCTTTTTAATCGCCAATTTCTGTATTTTACACATATTTGTAAGGAGCTGCAACCATTACACCATGTTCCACATGACATCTTAAGTAATTAATAGTTTAAAAATAATAAAAAATAAACAAAGATTTGTCCTCTATCACCAGTAGGCATGGTGAAATAAGAACACGCACTTTCTCGTGGGAACAACACGCAAACTCTGTCGCTAATAATTATAAAACCAGAATGTAGGAGGAAATTACTAACTGATCAAAAAAATTACGAAACTTGTGGGGATTTAGATCTAATACCAAAGAACCAGTGACGCTGCAAGCTCAGTCCCCCGTCTCTAATTTTGTTTTAGAAGGAGCAACCTCATGATTTCATAGTCTGCAAGAACTACTCATTAGCTAAAAGAAGAACCCGGTTTCTCGGTTTCTCAGATTCCTGTCTGATCAGCCTTTTGGATGGCACACGTGATTTTCCCATACGCGATAACACACCGACGTATCAATGAACACATTGTAGAACGTAATTCCCAATAAGAGGAAAATATTGACGCAAAATGACGCATAGTACAAAAACAAATGACGTAAATCGTAGTTCAGATCGCAAATAGTTTTGACGTACACAATTTAATCGAAACATTGCAAACAGTCACGTTGCATTAGCAGGCGAACGAGCCGACACGTGGAAATACCCTCCACTGAAAATATGCATGAGGACGTGTCGCGTTTCGATTAATGTGTGTGGGTCTCCCGTAAGGTCCTTCCTTTCCTTTACGAAGCGTTATTTAATAATAATAATAATAATTTATTTTCTGCCATATAACATTTACAACAAACAATAAGATTACAGTTGAGAAGGCATTGGGAGACTGGTTTCCAAACTAGGTAAGAACCTGTGATATGGATAACCAGGCTTCCATTCCACAGCAAACTCATATTGAGTGGTTACAAAAAGTACAGACCTATATGGGTAGGTAAACAAATTTAACATTTTAAATAAAGAAAGAAAACCAAAACAGTTAACTAATTAGAATTTAATACAAATAAAGTTGTATGGGCGTATGGGAGGGTGTGTGTATGTGTGTGTGTGTGTATGTGTTTATAGACCATTTTAATGAGGAAGAAGAGAAAAAACCGCTATTGGCATACAACCTCTTCCTTCCCGCACCAAGCTTCAAACGTTCTTTATTAAGACACAAATATACAGTATTTACAATATTCTTAACCTACATAGTTATAATATTAAAAAAAAATTAAATAGACAATTTAAAAAGTTTGGTCCCTGTGGCAGTGTATCTTTAACTCTGGCAGCATTTCCTCGCTGTATTGCGATACTTATTCGTTGAGCGAGGAAAGCACCAGCTCTATCACCAGTACTATCTACCAGGCGCCTGTGCACTTGAACCCCACGGCCCAAGAGTCTACTTCAAAGGGAGCTAAATCAAAGTTGGAGAAAAGACTCTTATATTTTATGATTATTTTATTTATTAATTTATAAGAATTATCTCCGATATAACCAGAGCAGTATTGGCCTAGTGGCTTTAGCGTGCGAAGCTCATCCATGAGGTCGTAGGTTCGATCGGCTGTGCTCCAATGGACTTTCTATGTGCGCATTTAACATTCGCTCGAACGGTGAAGGAAAACATCGTGAAGAAACTAGAGAGAGGAGGCTGATCACCTCCTTTCCTATTAGATTGACAAATGATCATGAAACAGATAGCGCCATTTATTAATATTAAGTTAAAATAATATTCACCCAATCTCAGATAGCGTTATACCAAATATGGTATTCAATTACTCAATGTTTTATTGGATTGTTCACCTTGGAAACTTGGCATCCTTATACACTTTAAATTAAACATAATAATTCCAGGATTCATTAATCACTAGACATATCCTTGAATTAGCGAGGTCTTCCCAGGGAAATACGTCCTCGAGAAGTTACAAAACATACCCACAAAGAACGTGTAACGAATGATGCTGGGCAGCTTCTTCTGGCAGGTCTTTGTGGCAAAACTTAGGCATGTTAGTTCTCTCTCTTAAGACACCTTAATAAATGTTATTTGTCGCAAGTTAGAAATATGGAAGGCACGAACATTTATTTATGTATTTTGTAATCCTACAGCTAACATAAATTATGTATAAAAAACAATTATACTCAAGAAGCCAACGATGGAAGAAATAATAATGACAAGAGGAAAAAAAATACAATAAAAATTATTAACTTAGTAATAACTGACGACTCATTGGTCTTGTGGTTAGTACCCCTGACTGCGAATCCATGGGTCCCGGGTTCGATCCCCGGCTGAGACGAACATGTGATGAGCATTTGGTGTTGTGCTTAGGTCTTGGGTGTTTAAATATGTATTTATATGTATATCTATCTATGATATGTATGTATATCCGTTGCCTAGTACCCATAACACAAGCTTCACCAGCTTAGCATGACTAGGGCTAGGTCAATTGGTGTGAATTGTCTTAAAAAAAAAACGTAATTTGGCTGTGTTGTGTAAACGTGAGGGTATGTATGTGAGGTGTGCTCCATGATGCTGATGATATTGGGCTATAATAATAAATCCCGTTTTATTTCCAATAAAAAAAAATATACAGCTTAGATTATTTTACATTTTTATAATTTTTTTTCTTCCAAGCTACCTTCAGTACCGTCGATTGAAACCCCACGTGTAAAGGCCCTCCAGCTTTTTCCAACTGACTCTGTCTATGACTTTCTTTTTCCATTCATTTCCTGCTACCGCTTCTATTTCTTCTATCCACCTTTTTTTGGGCTATGGATGTAAACTTCTACGTTTATATTTACGGGTCTAACTCTACGATATCGGATACGACAATTCGTAATTATTATCATCATTTTTAGGTGTCTAGTCACATCTGTAGAAGTCCCAGTTTTAAAGTTGCATAAGAGTAAAGTTTGCGACACGAAACGCATCGCTCCACTTTCAAGTTCCGTGTTGACATGACGTCACATCCGCCGCGAAGGTCGAACATATCGATTTTACACAGACTCATTCTTGAAATATAACCTTAAAAACGTTTTCTATATCATGGACCTCAAAAGGCGGACGGCTATATTTATTTTAATTTTATTTTTACATTTAAGCTACAGAAACAGACATCAAATTGGTTAAATACATACAGTTATTATACACTAAACATTATTTGTAAACCTGAAGTCCAATTAGATCTGTACACAGCATTTTCGTGGAATCTTCAGTGCTGGTTTACCAAATACTAACAATTACACACAGTATATAATATGATATAATGATTATTTACATTAAACTTAATGACAAAAAAAAATAGAAAAATTTAATGCCGAAAAAAAAAATTAAGTTATTCTGGTTGCAAGTCTGCACCGCGAATAATTTTTCTAAACTTTTTCTAATTTTTCTATGAAACATGTTTTCTATTTTATTTAATAGTATTATAGTCATCGCAGCCAATGGACTCCTATTTTAGTGGGTGTGTTGCCCGTCTTTGAGGGAGGAGTATACTCTTTCTTTAAACAATTGGAGGTCGTATCAAACTCAAACTCAAACTCAAAATATCTTTATTCAAGTAGGTAACCAAGTACACTTTTGAATCGTCAAGTTAAATTAATCGTAAATTTACATTTACTACCAGTTCGCAAGTCAAGGGCGTAGAGCGGGTAAGAAGAACTGGCAAGAAACTTTCCGCCACTCTTTTTAATCGCCAAGTATTGTCATACAAATTGTTTGAATTAATCTCTCAAGACCCCCACCGGTAGTAACAATCGCTAGTTCGCTAAAGAAAGTACCTATCCCTGAGTGTTAAATTCAAAATCATTTATTCATTTAGGTAACACAATGTACACTTATGAACGTCAAAACGAAATACATATTAAATGCTTCTAATTTTACATTTACTGCCAGTTCTCAAATCAAGGCCGTAGAATGGACGAGAAGAACTGGCAATAAACTCACCGCCACTCTTTTTAATTGCGAAGTTTTTTGTTTGTTTGTAAGGAGCTGCAACCATTACACCATGTTCCACATGACATATTAAGTAGTTAATAATAAAAAATAAAGATTTGTCCTCTATCAGTGGTAGGCATGGTGAAATAGAAGCACGCACTTACATTCTCGTGGGAACAACTCGCAAATACATAGTCGAAATAACTAACATCACCGCATACACGAATTCAATTCCGACTAGTCACCACAAGTAGCACCCGTACAAGAGTATGACGCATGGCCATCGGCCATTAAACCTGCAGTTGTTATATGGTCCATAATTAAGTTATATCTTAAACCTTCCCCAAGAGACCAGAACAGAAGAGACTGCATTGGCATAAGTTTTAGAAGATTAACCTATATGTTTTTTTCTTCTTCCAGGCGCCAATAGAACTCAGGAAAAGGCTGGATGAGATAAGACTTCTGGAGTCACGTAAATCAGCGAGACTAGCTGATGTTGATACAGACTTCGCAAGGCTTGCAGATATGGCCGGAGACCGCCGTAGAGCCTCCGCTACCATTGAAGTACCAGCACATCATATGCAGGGGTAAGTTGACTAAGAACTGAGGCTTCATGAGCCTTTAATGTAATCTGATGATTATTTACATGATCCTAATCCTTGGGATTTATTTGCTCCAGTTCAAACAATTTGTATGACTCAAAACTTGGCGATTAAAAAGAGGGGCTGAGAGTTTCTTGCCTACTCTTCGCACTTGACTTGCGAAGTGGTAGTGAATAGAAATTTAGAATCAATTTAACATCTTTTCTGTTGACGTTCATAAGTTTACTTGGTTACTTATATGAATAAAGTTGTTTGGAGTTTTGAGTTTGAATTATGTTATTGGATTTTGATTTATTTCGGCTCTTAATCTTCTGAGTATGTTGTTCGTAATCTTCTGAGTAATATTTATAGAAACTTTCCCCAAAAGTTAATGAGTTTTTTTGCTGTAAAGCACTTTGGTCTCTTTCTATTAAATTGTGTTTACGCTAAATAACATGACCACTTTAAATAATATAAATTACGTAATGGATTTTGACATTCCCGTTCTTTTGACTCCACATCTGAGTAAGTCGTTATAATATTTATAAAAACTTACTTAAAAACTAAAAGAGTTTTAATGCTGTAAAGTACTTTGGTCTCTTTTATATCAAATTATGTTTACGGTAAAAAAACATGACCACTTTAGTAAGTTTTTATGATATTTATACAAACTTACTTAATGAGTTTCATGGCTGTAAATTACTTTGTTCTCTTTGTTTTATTTACGTTAAAAACAACATGACTTTTAAAACGGTTCTTAAGAATAATGCCAGTAGTTTTTGAGTTTATTCGTAACAAAACATAGATCTATTTCCATTACTATTTCTGCATAATAATATAACGTTAGATGCGTAGTAGATTTTAAAATTCCTCCCATACAACGCACTCGCTCACGTAAAATCTGGCCAAGTTACGTGCCGAGATGCTAAACAACGAGCTCTTTCAAACATACGAACGCTAAATCACGAATGGCTGTTTACGTCATTGCATAAGTTGGCTATCACCTCGCACTTCCTGTTCCAAGATCAACTTGCTTGGGAAATCCATTAGTATTTGTTCTAATAATGTTTACCACAACTATAATAAACGCATATTTCTTGCTTTTATTAAGATTTGCTATGTTTGTTCAAATGTTGTCTTGTTAACCAACGCCGGTAGCTGTTGATAGAAATATTTAAAATTCAATAAATATATACAATAAATAGAAGTACTTAGACATTGGTATACCTAACGTAAGTAATTGTAACATGCACACGATTGTTTGAATAACAGAGCGCTATGATCGCCAACAAACTGTTATACAGTTTGGCGATATTTTTGATGTTGTTGTAAGTCCATGTTTTGATAAATAAATAAAAAAAAGGGTGCGTGTACTTATGTACGCGCGTAAGAAGTTATACTTCTTTAGCATAATTAAAAATAGTTTTTGATTACATGCAAATAATTAATTACAATTAAATAATCAAAGATTGGAAAAGGAGTCATTATAGTCAATAAAGTTCAGTTTACATTTGAAAAATTAAATAAATCAATATTTATTAATATTATATTTATGCGCCACTAACTTCATACTGATAATTTTGTGTACAGGTGCGCGCGCATCGTAAAATTTTACTCTTATAAATTTTTCATAACGCGCCTTTCTTTTTTTTGAAGTTATACTTCTTTAACTTCAAAAAAAAAGAAAAAACCTTGGAATTGCGTGGAACAACTCAACAATGTTTTCGGGATCGCAAACGCTACTGAGTATTAAAAAGTCACTATATTACAAGCGGCACATAGTGATATGCTTTCATTTCCTTCCTATATACGATTTCTATAGGCTCCTTCAAGAAATGAGCGTACCAATTCTTAAATGGACAGTGTCACTTAACATCAGATGAGCTTTGTTTGTTCCCTGTTTTATAAAAAAGTGCGTAAAAAGTACACATGTCAGAAGTGAAACTTCTTTGGAAAACTAATTTTTAACTCTTGTTCATATTTATACAAATCTAAAACTTTAGATTTCCGAGACTAGAAGGAGGGAAAAAGGAATATATGTTAGGAATTTAATGAATTTAATTGTCATTAAAATATTAAGTGACGAAATTTAATAAAAATTATATTTTTTTTTGTAAATTTATTTCTTCTATATTAAAACCACGTGGCATTTTAATTTACAATTCGTCATTTGAGAATAAATAATTTTGCATAAAATATAAAATACTAATATTTCATAAATCCTCCTTACGAAATTTTAATTTTAAAAATAGAATTTCTGTAAGGTAACTCGCCCTTCTCACTCTCTCTCAATCGCTCTCCTCCTTTTCTTCGACAAAAACGCTGCACATCTTCGTGACGCTAATATTATTGTTATAAAAATGTTACCCTCATGCGCCTATGGAAGTTTCACTTCAAAAATACGGTTTTTGTCCGCATATATAAAAGATCAAGGAACCTGACAGATAGCAGCGGTAAAATCGACTGATTATCCGATGTTATTTCGCCTTGAATTAGCGGCTCACCTCGCAAGAAGGTCGTATCATTTCTATTGCAATACAACCTTGTTGTTTCCCTTATCTTTTTCGCGTGATACATTCAATTATCGGTGCATCCCGGCTTTTGTTAAGCGGAAACTGAGATTTGCAAGTAACGTCCATGAAGTGTATATCCATAGACTGTAGAAGGAAGGAAAACCTCCTTGAATGACGTAAACGTCAATCCTATGTCAATTAGACGTGTTCTTTGTTTTTTTTATAAAACAGGGGGCAAACGGGCAGGAGGCTCACCTGATTGTAAGTGATATCGCTGCCCATGCACACTCTCAATGCCAGAGGGCTCGCGAGTGCGTTGCCGGCAGAAGAATTGGTATGCTCTTTTCTTGAAGGACCCTAAGTTGAATTGGTTCGGAAATACTTCAGTGGCTGGTTCCACAAAGTGGTGGTGCGCGGCAAAAACTGACTTGAAAAACGCTCAATTGTGGAACGGCGGACGTCGAGGTGACACGGATGAAATTTCGTATTCTGCCTCGACGTCCAAAGTCAAAGTCAAAAATCATTTATTCATTTAGGTAACACAATGTACACTTATGAACGTCAAAAAAGAAATATACATTAAATGCTTCTAATTTTACATTTACTGCCAGTTCTCATATCGAGGGCGTAGAACGGAAGAGAACTGGCAATAAACTCCGCCACTCTTTTCAATCGCCAAGTATTTTGTTTTTACACAACGTTTGTAAGGAGCTGCAACCATTATACCATGTTCCACATGACATCTTAGTAATAAATAATAATAAAATAAATTAAAAACGAAGATTTGAAGAACTGGCAATAAACTCTCCGCCACTCTTTTGCGACGATGAAACAGATTTAACAGTAAATCTACTAAGAGTGAATCTGTGCTTAGGTGCGAAGTAGTGGCGAATTACGAAACGTTGGAAACTAGGTGGAGTACGGGCGTGTCCTTGTCACAGTTGCCTACATTCTACTGCCACACCGCAAGGAACAATGCACTTAAAAATACCAATGTAACATTCAAATCTATATGTTTAACTATTACATATATACTAGCTGACCCGGCAAACGTTTGTTTTGCCATATATATTATTTCTAATAAACATTTTTTAGTTCAATAAAAATAATTATATATATATAATTTTGACCCCTCTACGATCAACCGTAGAGGGGTCAAAATTAAGGGTTATATGCTGTATCATAAAAAAATAAAAAACATTTTTTTTTTGGGGTGGACACCCCCTTTAGGGTTTTGAAAGATAGTAGCCGATTCTCAGACTTACTGAATATGCATAAAAAACTCATAAGAATCGTTCGAGCCGTTTCGGAGAAGACGTGACACGAAAATTTTATATCTTGTCATTTTCTGCTATATGTAATCTTTTCTTTTCCTAATAAACAAATAAAATTAGTAGTAGGCTTCTTTGATTTTGTACCATATTAAATTCATGGTTTATAATAATTATTAAAGTAAAGATGTTTCGCATTCCAAAGCTGCCAGGGGCTAAAGAAAATAGACCTGAATAGTAGACCTAGATAGTACTACAGTACAGCTCCAGGGCTTAAAGAGCAGCTTCTGCAAACGCTGTAGCTCCTCTTTCAAAAGCTGCTAAAGTGGAAATAAAAGTGTATCAGCAAGAATTCCACCATATCACTATAAGGCAAAGTATTATGATGCAAAAACTAAAAAGACCTTCTGTCAATTATTTATCGATAAACAATCACGATAATTAACACGTAATACCGGCTTGTAAATATAAATTATCTATTGCCATACTTAGATTAGATTATAAACAATTAAAAATAAAATTCAGATTAAATTTATTTAAATTAACATTAATTTATATATAACGTCAGTGTCAGAGCAGTGTTGGCCTAGTGGCTTCAGCGTGCCACTCTCATCCCTGAGGTCGTGGGTTAGATCCCTGTGCACCAATGGACTTTCTATGTGCGCATTTAACATTCGCTCGAACGGTGAAGGAAAACATTGTGAGGAAACCGGCTTGCCTTAGACCAAAAGTCGACGGCGTGTGTCAGGCACTGGAGGCCGATCACCTTGCCTATTAGACAAAAAGATCATGAAACAGATACAGAAATCTGAGGCCCAGACCTAAAAAGGTTGTAGCGCCATTGATTTAGTTATTTTTTATTACGTCACTGTCAAACACAACACTTAGATGTACTGCTTTGAAACCGGAACAAAATGGCGGCGAAGTTTCACTTTTCATAATGGCGGTGAGAGGCGAAACCTCTATAAATTTCACAATTGCCAAAAAACCAGCGCAGAGATTGTTTTATTACAAGGTAATGGTAATGTAAAGTCGCGGTTACACGTTATTTAGAAGAAACTCAATGGCGCTACAACCTTTTAGGTCTGGGCCTCATTTGCTTTCAATAGACAAGTAGTTGATCAGCCTGTGCCTGATACGCGGTGGACTTATTTTCTAAAGCATGCCTGTTTCCTCTCAGTGTTTTCCAAAAAACCAAGTGTTATGGCACATAAACAGAAAATCTT